TGAACAGGGTCTGAAGAAGAGGAATAAACTCCTAACACAGAATTGTTTGATGATGCTGTAGAATGTGGCTTAGAACCGTTCTGCTTCACTGATCCCATCTGTGAAGTGCCATTTATATCAGAAACCTGCCGCTCCCTTGGCAAATTTTTCATATTAGTTGCAGTTACATTAGCATCCCTGGGCGGCACAGGTTGAGAGCTTATGGGTTCATTTGAAGCATGTGGATGATCCCCACTAGACACCTTGTTGTTTGAACTCCCTTTTGAACTGTTTCAGAGTCCAGTTAAAATATGTTAGAAATAGAATATTTAAATTCTTGATGGAGGTGCTATAGCAAGATTACAATGAAATAGAGGAAATTTTCATAAGCAGGACAGCCATAGAATCATGCCATTTCATTGATGCTCTGTATGACATATTTATTGAAAAAGTCTAGAAGAAACCAGAATTTGTCAAGCACAAATCATAATATTACTGAAATTGAATTTAGATTAACATTTCCTGGCTGAGATTTCTGACACTTAATCATTAAATTATAAATTAAACCAAGGTCCTATATGCAAGGTTACTCAAATGAACCAGCACGGGTATTTGATGTGAGCAGTTAAAAATAAGATGCCAGATAAGTGACCTCCTTGAGGAAGCAGTAGATGTTACTAATTGAGAGTGACTAACAAGTTGGCAAATAAGTTGCCTCCTTAGAGAATCAGTAGGTATCACTTTTTCAGAAGGACTAATAAGTACACAAGATAAGTTACCCTGTCAAAGAATTAGGCATCGCTGGTTCAGAATGAGTAGAGCCATGTGCAAGCTTCAGAGTTTCTGTATCTGTGTGTTGGTTTACTCTATTGTCCCTCACAACACGGAATTCTCGGCTAACTCCAGTACCTGCAAAAATTATTTCCATCAAAAAGCAAAGGAAAGGAAAGGATATATTAGAGTATATAGACCCCAAAAAAAAAAAAAAAAAAAAAAAAAAAAAAATAGAGAATCTAGTGTGGAAACAACAAAAAAGTTATCAAGCTGAAAGGAACACAAACATTTGCATTGAAGATGAAGTACTTGTATACAGAAAATAAGATTTCTAGCAAAAGCTTCTCAGGCAATCATTGAGGCTTAAATTGTTTGGGTGCATTACAAGAATAACTTCACCTTATTGATCTATAGATGAAATGATGAATTCTTAAATAAAAACCCTAGCATACTAATAAATCCCAAGAGCAACACCCCTCAGTACATAGTTTTTCAATCAGATGAATCATGAATAAGCAGTCACTCTTCACATGCCACCACATCATATTACAGAGCCTTATAGCATTACTTTCAAATAAAAGTTGCTGACAGCTTTATCATCTGAAATTATCAGGCCCATTCTCAACAAATATTGCATTCTAAAGATACAATCATTACAGGGCATAGAAGACAATATTTACCAACTTGTATTTACAATTGTTTCTAAAGATAAGAAGTGGTTAATTTGCTACCTATTGCTATCCAATCACCTATGCAATGAAAGCTCCAATAAACTCTATTATAAGACACAGAATATTGGCATACGGTTTCAATTACCAGGCAAAGCATTCCGCTTGTAAGGTCCTCTTCGAATGAGATTGTTATGTGTTTTGGATTTCACAGCTAGATTAGCAGGTTCAAATTCTTTTCTGTCCTCTTCAGTCCTATACCCAGTATTCTGAAACAAAATACAATACCAAACAAAAGATCCCTCATGAACGAGATTTTATGGAGGTCATTTTACAAAAATGTTGTTGTACAACAACAAAAGGATATCATAAAATGTCAGAGCACAAACCTGAATGTTAACCTTTGGCACATTCAGTGCCTCTTTCTTTCTATCTCTTCGTCTCTTCACCTCATGAAATGTGTCTGGACACAAAAATTAAATTAAGCATCAGACAAGTTTTACCCCCAAGTACAGCATTATCTAAAATATAAAGAGCAAAGGATATAGGCAGTGTAAGTCATTGTAACACCACAAAAATCCATCCAGATGTCATGAATGAGCAGTAATATTCAATAACAGTCAAATTCTAGTTCTCATAAATAATAAAGAAGTATACAGCATAGCAGCCCTAAAACACCCAAATTGACCAAAATCACCAAACTAGGAATGACCATTAATGATGAAATTTGCAACTACTTTTAACCAAAAACCTATCATATGTTATCCTTTCCTTTCTTCTAAATACTTAAATTGAGCTAGAATGAAACTAATCCTTGACAGGAAAAAGGGAATTAACAGCTAGTCAAACGCAGAGCTCTGTGAAACCAGTGACCAAGCTACTATGTAAAACTAAAAAGCTGTTGCCCTTTCAAGAATGTGCATTCATCCAACTACTAGCTAATAAAATCTACCATTGCACCCAAACTCAAATTATTGAAAGATTCAAGTAAATTAATAGATAAAATTAAAAAAAGAAGGAAACTTAAGGACTGGGAATAAACCAGAGACCCTGATGGTACAATTTCTGAAAAGTCTCGTTAGGGTCCATGTTAGACTCTTTGAGAGTAGCGTAGATATCAGCCTCAGAGTGGCCCTTTGCAACTTCTTTCAGAGTCTCTATCGTCATTCGAACACCGGGAGATAGGTTCTGCGTCCCGCCTTCAAATTTCGAGCCGGCGACCATCTCACCAGAATGAGACCTAAGAAGATCAAGAAGGATTGAACCGAGATGTCAACGATTTTTATTTATGCAGAATGCAGGAGCATACGTGCGAAATGCGTATAATCGTCGGAAGAATGTGGAAAATCCAAGCTTTATATACTACTGAAACCAGTTAGGGTTTTAATGGATAGAGGGAAATCAGATGTAAACACAGAGAACGGCTGACGCAGAGAGAGAAAGGGTTTCGGAGCGAGGGTTTTAAAAACATATTTACTTATTCCCACCTTTTTTTAATCAAATCAAATAATCAAATAATCAGATAATCAGATAATAATAATAATAATACACTCTACATTTTATTACATTTTCTCATTTTTCCGTAACTTTTTGGATTGAATTTTATTTTTTTTGAATCAAAGAAAGGGTACTCGATCAATGTCTTCTCATAAGCGCTCTCATGGTACGCATAATTATCTTATTGTCTTATCTAACAAGTTGTCTAATTTATAAAGGGAGTTTTCGATCTCTCCTAGTATCTGGTAAGTCATATTTGTCAAGGTATCGACAACCACGTTCGGCTCCATGGAGTGTTACATAAGGATATTTCTCACTCTTCGACTAATTCACTTATTGCACAAATCAATCACTTTTCTTCCGTATTCATAGGTGACTTTTCGTTCTTTAACCAGCTCACCACTCTTAATAAACTTGAAATGGTTGTTTGGCTCTTTGTAGAGCTGATGCTGTTGTTGCCTGCGTGTAGGACCGTCCCCCACTCCCGTCCCGGGGCGCTAAGGGACTTTTGTTTTTAGAACAGACGATAGTGTTTTGCTGACGCCTTGAATCAAGCTTTTATTGCGACATGCTATGTTTTCTCCCTCATTGCTAGTAGGTTGATGGGTTGCACACTCGGCACACATATTTTGGCCTTGTGTGTCCATAACTCAAAATAGGTGACCTAACGGCCGCCGCCCGACTAAACATACCAATAGTCACAAAATTCATATGAGCTACTGAGGAGTAAGTAATGATCTTCTTAAGATCGATTTGCTTAAAGTGGTCAAAGAAGTATATATTATAGCAATTGCGCATAAAGTATAAATGAAAGGAGTGGAACAAAGTGTCGCTTCGGGAAACATGGGTATTGAAAATCTTAAAAATTCGTAGGTTTCCAATTTTAAAGGAATTTCTGCCAATATGACGGATCCTGCCGTAGGTGCCAAATTGATCATCAATATCAATTCATCCAAAATGGTATTTTCAATTATGCAAAGTTTACTTAATTTAGTTGTATAGTGCACTATTTTCGTCTCATTTTATGTGTATGACTCGATTAACAATACTTTACTGAAGTAGTTTTAAATTTAATTGTTCTTAATATTTAATTTATTATTATTGTATACAATTTATATATTTAGAAACTACATTAAAATACTAATAAATATACAAATAAATATAAAAATAAATCAAATTTAAAAATTATTTAAAAATAAGTAAATAATAAATAATTGATTTAACCAATTATAATTTGCATAGTCAATCCCATTTTCAATGAAGTTGTGTTCAATTAAATTGAGAATTATGACATACTGATTATTTTGAGAAATGTCTCTAGTCTCTATTAGTAACTACGCAATGATGTGGTCCATTATGAATTTCATCTCCATTAGTAGTAATATCACTCATGTTATTAGTTTAATAATAATAGTAATAATAATAACTACAATAAATAAGTATACCTTTGTAACATGTGAACTCGATCAATTCATATGTAAACCAACTTTTATAGTGTTGAGTTAGGGAGCATAAGTCAAAATTCTTCCAACAATAATGCAGAGTTAATCTACAGGTAAATCAGGTCGATCATATCACGTGTCCATATTGAGGGACTTTAATTAATAACATGACTGAAATTAAGTTTCAAATACTATCTACATTCATCAAACTAGTTATAAACCCCCAGGACCATGTGTCCCTACAGTTGTTGAAAGAGAACAATCACAAGTTGTTTAATTAGCATCTACGTTCTCATCCCAACCTATATACTTTTGCTCATAACTCATAAGGAGTCGTTGCCCTCTGAGTTTCTAACACTACTAATTGATATATGCTTTGAATTTTTGTAAATTTTGAATCTCACTCTACTATTAAAAGATGAAATATAAGTTGATTGATCCGATCACTTCAACTAAGTCGTGGAAAAATGTAAGATAATGATTAATTATGAGGTTGGTACTTAAAAAAAAAGAAAAAAAAAGAAAAAAAAAAACAGGAGCAATTCACCTAATGGGGCCCAGTGTTGGGGTTTGGACATCTCCACTGGACTATAGGAAAAGTGCCGCGGGGTGGTTAGTATAAACTAACGCTAAAGTGAAAAAAACCAAGCCAAAGGAAACAATACAGAAGCAAGAAAACAAGCCACTCAGGTAACCAACCACCAGTCTCCCTTCACTCCCCGTCTTTCTGCACTCCAAATCAGATGTGGATGTAGATGTGAAGTGAAAGCCCTCGAGCTCAGTACAGGTACGACTCCATAATTGCTCACTTTGCGTTCCATCGTCTTTCAATAATTGTAGGCGGAATTCGCATGATCTGACTTTCGTTTCCGGGGAATTTCTTAGGTTTATACTCGCTTTTTGCGCTTGGATTTCGAGCGATGAGCAGAGACAAGCTGCCGGAGATTCTCGATTTCTTCATTTGGACTGTGGAGGTATTTCCGATTTTCTTCTCATAATTCCCTGGCAGATCTCGTTTTTGTTGCTTTTGTTATTGGATCGCGGTCTCGTGCTTAAATTTTCGGTGTTTTTTAATATTGATTTTGTGAATTACGTTACTCTGCAACTTCTCGGGAACTGATTAGTTATTTTAGCATCTTATAGCTCAACGGCAAAATGCACAGGTAGTTGCCAAAATGTTAGAACCTTGATCCTTGAGTAGCTTGTTTGTACTTTACCGGGACAGAAAATAGGATACCTAAAAATTTTTGCGGCTGCAGTTTCTGTTTTACTTTTATTGAGTTGGAGATTTAGCAGATTGAAAAGTGAAGGTTGAATTCGAGCAAGGGTTAAACATGACTGTTTCCACACTCTATATATACAGTTTGGTCTTCGAACCTTGCACGGAGTAGTTTTCTAGTGGTCTGTTTACTATTTAGAGATATAGAACGCTCTCTTTGTACTTTTGTAGAGAGTTAATAATTGTTTATGACGGTATAATTCTTTGGGGTTATTTTCTTGTTAGGAATCTGCGTCAACATAATGAATGCAAAAATAGATTCCTCTTTTGAACCTGATGGAAAGGTGAAGTATCTTGACACTATAAGTGACGACTTGAAATTGTTGAATGTTGATAGGCCTAGAATACTTAGAGAGTTTGAGCAAAAGAACCCAGTGACTGAGGCTGCCACATGGTTTGATAGTAAGCAATGTTGCAGACGGCACTAGGCGCTAGGCGCTAGTTGGGCGCCTAGTGCCTAGGCGGTTGAGTAATTTGACTATATCGTCTTTACTTTTGCCTAGTTGCTCACTTTGCGTTCCATCAGTTGAGTTGGGTACCGAATCGGCCGATTAGTTGGTGAGCCGACTAAAAGCCGCCTAGGGCTGAAATTGCCTCGGCCTAGCGGCACCTAGCACCTAGCGGCCGCCTAGGCTGATTTTTACAACACTGCTACTGAGTTTACTGAGCACTTATTAGGACCAGAACTTAAAAATAGATGCTAAAAGGAAAAATGTTTCGTTGAAGCAGCCTATCAATAAGTCCTAAAATGACTCCTCACACAAGTTCTGATATATATATATATATATATATATATATATATATATATATATATATACACACACACACACACACACCACTAATTCATGGAAGAATTCTAGACATGGATGAAGTCCTCAGTTTCCTCTCGTGTTGCTGAAGGTTTATTTTGTTGCTTCCTGTCAATCATCATGGTTTTTAAGAAAGCTTATGTCCTGCAGCCGCAGTGTGTTTACATGAATAGGCTCTATATTTTGATTGTTTTGCACATGTTTTCACAAGATTCCAAAGAAGAAGGGAATGCCTAAGCTTGGTATTAAGCATTACCAGATTTAATAGACAAAGCCATAAATTTAAATCCTTTTCAGTGCTCATGTCTTCCATTTGGATTGTGTAATGTTTTTATTTATTTATTATTTAAGTATTCTGGATGTGTAATATTAGAAAGTGACCAATATAATATACTATACAGAGTAATATAAAAAGTCTGCACCATGCGACCATGCCACCATATAAATCTCTCTGGTTGGGGGGAAATTTAGATAAAGTGTTATGATATTTGGTAAACTAACTTGCATTTGGCTACACCTTTTTTTGCCAGGATGTGGGTCTGTGGCTAGAAGAAATAAATCTTGGTAACTATCGCCAAATTTTTAAAGAAAATGGTGTCAATGGAGAGTACTTGGAGGGGATGTCCATGTTCACAACTGAACAGATATTACGGTTTATAAGAAGATGCCACATGAAATGGGGTGATTTCATTACATTGTGTAAGGAGCTCCGACGAATAAAAGGTCAACCTCTCTCTCTCTCTCTCTCTCTCTCTCTCTCTCTCCCTCTCTCCCCCTCCCGTAAGCTGTATGATTTTTGCCCATAGCTTAATGTGAAATCTTGATAAATTATTGCCCCTGCTGTGGAATGTTAACCAATGGATAAACAATTATTGTAGCCTAATTTAGTTTAAAATGTTAACCAGTGCATTACTGTCCTCTGTGATAGTTTTGTTCAATGACCAGTTATGTGGGTCTTGAATCCCCCGTCATCAAGGACAACTATGTGTTTTGATGCTACTAGGATTTGCCACTTCCTAATTCACTGGATGAAACATGTGTGCTAAACAACTTTTGATAGTTCAATTCTACCCAACCATGTTGTCTTTCTTTACTAATTCAATGCTTTTCTTCAGTGGCTTGCTTAAAGGGGGAGCAAAAAGTTCGCCAGCCATGGTGGGCTCCATCATGCCTATCTGTAGTCTTCGCTAAGGCTGCCAAGCGCAACAGGCAATCGAGAGTGGTCTCATTGAAGCTGGAACCTTGAGTTGCCTTTCACTTGTCCATGTATACTTTCTTCCTAGAGGAAGATGACAAGTAGGAAACCACTTTCATATGTGTTTTTCTTTTTTTGTTCCCAAATTTCTTTTTGCATCCCTAATGTTGTCATTATGCCGTTTGTGTTAGCTCTTTGGGGGAACTACAGGCCGTTGTCCAAGCCCTTGTATACGTAATTTTGTAGTTGTGTAATCTAGTTGTGATGTAATTAAGTCACAGTCATGTAAATCTAGATCTGAGACTCTAAACATGATGTCCCAGATTCAGTATCGATTCCCCTTAAAAAATATATATACAATATGATGATGTAAACCTTTTGTCAATATTTTATGCTTGGTGACGAGACTATACACTATTAGACTGCATACTGAATATACTAATTTTTAATGATTGTTTAAAATTTAAATTATCTTCACATGTTTCTTGGTGCGTGTTGGTATAGAGATGATCAGTTTAGATGGTTCCACTGCAATGATAAATGAATTTTGAAACTAGATCGACAATATTGTCGTTATTCAGCTCAATTGGAATGCTTATGTATTACCCAAAATGGGCCTAACCCAACGGGCTGGGCATGTTTAACCCGTGTTTTGAACGGTTGGGTCCGTATTTGACCTGTATTAGATATGGGCCAAACAGACTGAACCCGGGTAACCCGCCCGTATATATAAAACATACTAATTCCGCATCTCCTTCTCCGCGACTCCGCCTATACGCCTCGCGTGGGTTGCGACCAGCGAGTCTCACCGACGGGCGACGGCGGCACTACTCCGGCTGCGACGGCGCTACTCCGGCTCCGACGGCGCATCTCCTGCTCCAGTGTCCACTGCAGCCCTGCTCCGTGAGAACCGAGAGGGGAGACCGCGAGAACCACTGCTCCGTGTCTCCGTGACGGCTGCCGGCTGCCGGCTCTCGGCTGACTGCTGCTCGCCTGCTTCACTGGACGGCTGGAGCTGAGTGCTTACTTCTCTACGCTACCGTCGCTACGCCTCTACTGAGTACTGGTAATAATTATTTTTTAGTAATTTATATTTTCTTTAATATTTATGATTTTGTTGTGAATATGATTTGTGGTTGCTGAATCTTGCTGTAATAGTGTTACTGTAATAGGCCTTATTGTTGTTGACTTGTTGTGGTTCAGGATTATCTGTAGTGTCCCCTGGTTATATCTATTAAACTTTCCCCGGGAGTTGAGTTACCAAGCAAATGGATGTTGCTAATGAATTGGGTTACAAACCTCCTTCTGATTTTGTGGAGGATAAGAGAGATCCACTTGTTGAACTTAAAGTAACGGATTCAACTGAGCTCTGGCTCATCCAATGGCCCCTAAATCATGTATGCTCTTTATTGCAGACTCTTAGCTTCATTTACACTTCACATAATCTGATGCTTACATTTTATGGTATAATGAACTTACTATCAATCTTGATGGACTTTGGATATATTGCGATAGAAAGGACTAATACTTGCCCAATTTACAGAAAATTTAATATATCTTGTAAATGAAATATGGTGATAGTATAAGGACCTGAAGTTTTCCAATGATAATTATTTGCCTTTGTATGCATATCTGCATCATGAATTCATGAGGTAGAGAATATTTGTAATTTGCAAAGAACAAGGATAATTTGAACACATAAGTATTATTATATAATCATACATTATATTTCTACTCTTCATTCAACTTTGAACTAATCACTTTTTTTTTTTTTGTTGCAGTCTTCAGATTTTGATGGGCAAGTGTCACTGAAACTTGATAATGATGGGCATTTAGGCAGCTTTGAGAGTTCTTCTGGCAAGTATTTTGAGCAAAAGTTTAAGTATTTTTTGTCTTTATGTTTACAGTCCTTCTTTCTTAGCAAATTTAATCAACATGTATTCTTGTTGACAGGAAAATCTTATGATGTTTTCAATTTAAAAGCCCAGGATCCAGTTGGAACGGTATTTCTATCTTCTGCATCAGAGGCAAAAGCTGGTCTGTGAAATTTTAGATTAGACAACATTATTTTTAAAAGACGGGAACTTTCTTGTATCTGCCTATTAGACCTTTGTTAACAGTATTAATGTTTTGTCACCATGCTTTAACTACCTTTGTGATATTTTGGCAGTTGGAAAGATTTCGCGCCATGTTTCTTTTATTCACTATCCAGAGCCTAGTGAATTTCAGAAACACAACAAAATGAGTTTGAAGGAGATAGCTCAGAGGTCTTCAACGATGACAAAGACAAGTTCAGTTTTCCATCCTTCAAGTGGTACTAAAAGTAGTAAGCATAAAACTTCACAATCTACGAGTATGTATACTACCAACACTACTCCTAGTAGCCAACAGAAAAGTTCCAAATCCAAATTGGGTGAGCCATCTAAGACTCTGAAGAAAAGAAGCAAGTCCATGGACCAGGATTCTGGAAGAGGCAACAGTGCAGTTACCACTTCTGGATCAGCCGGGCATTCTCAAGAAAGAAAAGCAAAAAAGTTGAAGGCTAATTGAATCTTCAAACTGTTATAGCTGCTTCCATTTATCAGATCTGTTTCAATCTTGATGCACAATTTTGAGGAAGATACAGAGAATCATACAGAATATTAAAATGATTCACCGGCTTGTCTAGATTATTATGTGGATATTGGGCTTTGGCTAACATTTCACTCTAATTTTTATTTGATTCAGTGAAACCTGAAAGAGGAAGACAACAAATCTTCATCCATTAACACTGTATTATATAAGATAAGAATGTAGATTCAGGAATAAATAAATCATCCATATTACATTACATATATATAATATGAATGCATAGTAGATAATAGATATCCATCTATCAGCAGATAATTGTTAAAAGATTATGGCCCCCAGGAATGGCAGGCCAGGCATCAAGTTTAGCTGAAAGAAATCTGATTATTATGACAAAAAATACATTTAAAGAATTTAAAATTTAACCCAATTAATCATTTAATTTGTGTTTTGGGTCCAAGAAAAGTCGATTTTTTTAAAGCCTGCCCAAGGAGATCATTTTGCATTTTTCAAGTTGGGATCTAGTTAAGTAGTTAGTCCAAATTGTATTAGTCAACACCCTTTTCCACTCCCTCGCATTTTATATTGCATTTTTTTATTTTGAATATTAATCTCGCGTTTCACACCATATATAAACTATTTCTTATTTATATCACCAATTAAAAAAAAATGTAGTATTTATTTATAACTACTTTTCAATGTACTAAAATACAAAGAGTCAATATCGCTTTAACTGGGAATCAAACACACGATCTCCTATTTAAAAAAAGTCACTTCATACTACCAGAGCACAAGATCATTGGCCGATTTAACATTATTTTAATGGCCGATTTAACATTATTTTAATACCGGAAATAGTAAAAAAGTTTAAGAGTTGGGTGCATAAAGAAACTGTTTAATACTAGAGAATTTGAATTCAATATTTAAATAGTAAAAATTTCAGGAGCGGGGTGCGTGAATTTCAACTTTTCATCTAAGAGAGTCAGAATTTCAACTTCCCATCTAAGAGAGTCACCTTGTGCCACTAGACCACAAGGTGCAAAATTTTGATATATTTAGTCTATAAAATTTTCACAATTAAGATTAAAAACGAAAAAGGATTTTCGTACGGATACAGTATAGTAAATTAGTTGAAAACTTACTGATAAGGTATATGCCCCGGGTCCGTGCCATCGCTCGCAGTCGGGTCGGGGTCAAAGGCGACGGGTCAAACCCGAGATGGGTCAAACCCGCCGCCTCGGAGGCCTTTAAAAGGGCTTCTAGCCCTTTGAGGAGGGGATCTTTTTGGCCCATTTGGCTTCCTTCCCCATCTCTGGGCTCTCTCTCTCTCCCTTCCTCTCTTCTCCCCTTTCTCTCCAACACAGAGACACACACAAGCAAGACATTAATAAAAGAGAGGATTTGAGATATATTTCTGGTGTTCTTCCCCTTGTTTATACAGATACATATTCATCCAGTACAAACACCCTTCTATACGGGGAATTAGTACTATCATTTTGGCGCCGTCTGTGGGGACCCGGGCAAAGAGCTCTGTTCCTACCATCGAAGAGCTACTGGAGAATTTGGCAAGTGATCCTCCATCTACTAAGATCTCGCCATCATCATCACCGTGAATCATCTTTGCTATCTGAAACTTGCCATCAGCCATGCAGCACCAAAGCTAGAGTTTCTCACCATGCTGGCTTGCTTCATCATCGTTGTTATCCTCCTCTACAAATCCAGTAAATGGCCGGAAATCCATCCAAAGAAAACATAAAGAACAGGTTTTGTAAACCAGGAGACCTCGATTAGGGGTTCATGCATGGAGCCATCAGCGTAACTACTGTAGCTGTGAGGCTCTACGAGCTCCATCATCGCCGGGTTTTAGCTCCGCCACCCCTCGCCGCCGCCGTCCGCCATCGGCGTGGCCTGCTTTGCCACCATCGCCAGCCACGAGCCACCGAACTGCCAAGCTTAGCCGGAAGCAGGGGAAACCGGTGGAGCTGCTACGCCGGATTTCTTGCTGGTCCACCGCCGCCGCCACCGCTGCTAGTTGCGCCGAGAAGATGGAGGAGAAGATGGAGGGATGCCGATGCAGTTCCCGCCGCCACCAGCCGTCCGCGGTGCAGTAGAGAGAGAGGCAGAGAAGACCCGGCGCCGTGCTGCTACCCACCGGCGTTGCCTGCCTCTGGGATGCCGGATTGAAGCAGAGATCGGGAGAAGAGGGAGGAGGTCGCCGGATTCCTTGCTGGTCCGCCGCCGCCGTCCAGCTCTGCCGCCAGTCGTCGCCAGTCACGCCCCCGTCGCCGGCCTGCTGTCTCCGTCGGAGAAGGCTCGAGGTCCATGGCGCCGTTGTGGATCGGAGTCCACAGATTTTTGTTTAAAAAAAAAAAAAAAAAGAGAAGCGGAGAAGAAGAGGAAGAAGAGAAGCAGAGAAGAAGAAGAAGAAGAAAAAAAAAGAAGAAAGAAGAAGATGGAGTTGGTGGCAGGTGATGATGAAAAAAGGACAAAAAAAGTCCAAAGCATTAATTGTGGAGCATGATGGCATTTGTGGTGGAGGGTGGTGTCACGTGTGAAGCTTTGAAGATGAAGACAAATTACATTATTTATAATTATTTGTAATTTTTGTAATAGTCTAATTTAGACTAGTTAGGCCCATAATTTAAAATGGGCCGTAGCATTTTATTTTCTAAGTGTATAGGCCCAATTACAAATTGTATAGGTTATGGGCTTGTACCTAGGAAAATTTGTAATAGGTCCGGTTAGGTTGCTATTCCCACCACCGGCACTAAGAGCCCGGTCAGGTCGGCCTCGCCACCACCGGCTCCCTCGGTTCCGACCGATAACGGTGTCCGAAGACCGAAGACGGGCGCTTCGCCCCACACACCTCTCCCTCGGTTCCGACCGATAGCGGTGTCCGAAGATTGAAGATGGGCGCCTTGCCCAGCAGCCAAACCGGCTCTAATAGCCGTCACTCCTCTCCCTCGGTCCCCACCGATAGGGGTGTGCAATCGGGCTCTAATAGTCTCAGTTCTGCGGCTCTAATAGCCGACTGACCCTTGACCGGGCGAGGCAATCGACTGGTCATATCGCCGATCGGGGAGGTCGACACCACGGCATATTCCCCGATCCGCCCGCTCCTCTCCGGTACTGCACTCACTCGCGCCCCGAGCGCGCACAGTGGGGGCTAAATAGGAAGGGAGTGCCACAGGTCCCATGCTCGGGAACACCCCATGCAGCGGGCCCTCGTGAAGTGTTTAGGCCCACACTCGGGAATCCCCCAATCGAGGCGGCCAAACAGTGCCTGAAGAAGTATTCCGAGGCCCGAAGGCCGGGAATCACGGTTCGGGCCGGCACTCGGGAAACCCCCGATCGTGACGGCCAAGCAGCAGTTGAAGCAAGCCTAAGGCTGAGAAAGGTTCCAAGGCCCAAGAGTCGGGAACTGCAGTTTGGGCCCAAGGTCGGGAATATCCCGTCCTAAACGGCCCACCCGAAGACCAAAGACCACGCCCTAAGTTCGCCCGGCCGCTAGTTTCACTGTCACACGCCCTTATACTTAAGTACGTCTGACAGTGGGGGGCTGGGCAGGATAGGCCGGGTCGAATCGTCTGCTCGGATAACATATGACATGTGGGTCGCCCGAGGCCATGCGCCTGGTCGGCCTAGAGCGGCTGGTTCAACCCGTCTGCCCGGGTAAGGCGATGCTGGCATGGGGGTCGCCTGGAGGCTATTAGCCCGGTCGTCCAACGCGCTTTCCCACCTCGAGTAGGTCGGCACTGCCACCTCCAACGAGAAGGGGAAGTGAGCCACGCGCCTTGTTAGACCGAGTAGGTTGGCACTGCCGCCTCCGGTGTTTCTAAAGACCAGTTAGGTTGGCCTCGCCACCACTGGCACTCTATGACCGGTTAGGTTGGCATTGCCACCACCGGGTCTATGAGTCCGGTTATACCGGTTGATACCGCTTCTTAGCGATGCCGCTTTTCAGCGATGAATTCCGCTTTCCGGCGATGCATATATCGCTTTTCAGCGATGTATTCCGCTTCCTAGCGATGCCGCTTTCCAGTGATGAATTCCGCTTTCCGGCGATGCATATATCGCTTTTCAGCGATGTATTCCGCTTCCTAGCGATGCCGCTTTTTCAGCGATGTATTCCGCTTTTTAGCGATGCCGCGTTTTAGCGATGATATGTCCGCTTTTTAGGCGATGCCGAGCGATATGCTTGTTCCGCCTCTTAGCGATGCCGCGTTTTAGCGATGTTTCCGCTTTTAGGCGATGCCGAGCGATGTGCTTGTTCCACCTCTTAGCGATGTTTCCGCTTTTAGGCGATGCCGAGCGATGTGCTTGTTCCACCTCTTAGCGATGCCGCGTTTTAGCGATGTTTCCGCTTTTAGGCGATGCCGAGCGATGTGCTTGTTCCGCCTCTTAGCGATGCCGCATTTTAGCGATGATGTTTCCGCTTTTAGGCGATGCCGAGCGATGTGCTTGTCCGCCTCTTAGCGATGCCGCGTTTTAGCGATGTTGTTTCCGCTTTTAGGCGATGCCGCGCGATGTGCTTGTTCCGCCTCTTAGCGATGCCGCGTTTTAGCGATGTTGTTTCCGCTTTTAGGCGATGCCGTGCGATGTGTTTACCGCCTCTTGGCGATGCCGCTTTTAGCGATGTGTTTACTATCTTTGTGTGATGCTTTACCGCTTTTTTTAGCAACGTGTGTGTATCGCTCGTTAGCGGTGTTGTGCCCGATCGTCGGCGCGGTAGTTATAGCCGGGTGCACTCACATTGCGGACCCGGTCAAGGCACTTCGCGACCGCGATGTCGTTTCCCGGACGGTAACCCGTCGTATCCACTCCTTTGTGCTGACGGTTCTTGCACCTGCGGGAGTGGGGGCTGCGCTGGCCCGAGCAGCTCGTCTGCGTTTTAGTTTGCCCGAGTAGAGCGTTCGTCGGTCGAAACGGTCGAATCACGTTCGCTTCGCCCAGTAACGTTTCGCCCGAATGAATCCGATCTCTCGGTCACAAGCGGATCCGACCCCGTAGTCGGTTAGATGGGTCTCCAGATCGCAGTCGAATCGACAGCACAGTCGTGCCCGGCAATCCAGTCGCGAACCGGCTGGGCTCGGCCTT